CGATACCTGTGAGTGTACATTTGGGCCTAGATATGAGAGAATACATCTATGTGGTATGTGTGCACCACATAAAACAGATCCTGCAGCACACTGTGTATAATGGGGAAAAAAAAAAATGAAATCATGATTTTTCGATTAAAACAGCAACTTTGCAGTGTTTTTTCGTATTTTTTTTTATTGTTGTATTTGCGATTTCTTGGTCTCATTTGATAGAAGGAAAGAAAACATATTACAGAAATAGAGATGATTTGATTGGTTTTAGCATTGGAAATGGCTTGAAACTGAGCTCAAAGTAGCGGAAATTTTAAAAATTTTTTGGCCGATATTCAAGAGTAAAAAAACCCGACCTCACACGTCTAATACACCATCACTGGTGAGTCTAATAATTTTCCCACAAATATGTGATGATATGTATACAATTATTACAGTATTGCATAACAGTAAATCTTCTATTTTTTGGTGTGAATAAAAATTCATTTTGTGAATAAAAAATCAAAATGGAATTTATTTGTAAAGCCTCAAAACATAACTAATGAACAGAGGAAATGTTTTTTTTAGGGCCAGGAATGCCTACATTGTTCATTCTGGACCCTATTTTGAAATTGGAATATTTTGAACTTTGTGTTAAATTGGGCCCAAAATTTAAAAATTTCCGATCACTTTATTTTGTAGTTGAAAAAAGTTTACTTTTGGGGATTTCTTGTGCTCAAAACGATAGAATAGAAGTAATACTAGTGAAATAGCTAAGAATTTGGTTGATTGGAATAATGTAATTGGCCTAAAATGGGAGTCAAAGTCGGGAAATCGCCGATTCGAAATATCGCTGACACATCAAAATTCGCGAGAGCATAATTTCGTCAATTTTCCACCAAATTTCGTACTTTTTGTTTTATTACCTTCACAAAAAGATTCTCTACGATTTCATAAGAAAAAATAACAAATTTTTTTTTTGAAAATTCTTGGACACTGGTGCGTGACTCCAGATTTGGGCCTTGGACCCTGAAAGGGTTAATTCTGAACCCTATTCTGAAAATGGCCTTCCTTGAATTTTGTATGAATTGGCCAAATTACCAATTTAAGAGCATAAGAAAGGAGGAACACTGCAGCAGGCCTGTTGGCCCATACTAGGCAGGTCCTTCACAATCCATCCCACTAACCAAATATTTGCCCAACTCAATTTTCAATGCTACCCAAGAAATAATCTTTGATAATTCTATTTACCCATGTGCAAGTCCCACTCAAATCCAACCCCTCTCACTCATGTGGGAAAATTTATGGAATCAATAATTGCCGAGGCAATTCGTAGCCACCTTGATAAGCATAAATTAATCAACGAATCTCAGCATGGTTTTACAAAGGGGCGTTCCTGCCTTACGAATTTATTAACTTTTTTTCACTAAGGTATTTGAGGAGGTAGATCATGGTAATGAATATGATATTGTGTATATGGACTTCAGTAAGGCTTTTGACAGGGTCCCACATCAAAGACTATTGAGGAAAATTAAAGCACATGGAATAGGAGGAGAAATTTTTTCCTGGATAGAGGCATGGTTGACAAATAGGCAGCAGAGAGTTTGCATAAATGACGAGAAATCAGAGGGAAAAAGCGTCACGAGCGGTATTCCACAGGGGCCAGTGTTGGGCCCTCCGTTGTTCACAATCTACATAAACGACATAGATGAGGGCATAAAGAGCGACATCACAAGTTGCCGATGACACCAAAATAGGGCCGTCGAATTCATTCTGACGAGGACATTCGAGCACTTTCCCGGAAGATTGAATAGATGATGCAGTGTCGGAGAAGTGGCAGATGCAGTTTAATATAGACAAATTTCAAAGTTCTAAATGTTGGACAGGACAATAACCATGCCACATATAAACTAAATAATGTAGATCTTAATATTACGGATTGCGAAAAAGATTTAGGAGTTCTGGTTAGCAGTAATCTGAAACCAAGACAACAGTGCATAAGTGTTCGCAATAAAGCTAAAAGAATCCTTGGCTTCATATCAAGAAGCATAAATAATAGGAGTCCTCAGGTTGTTCTTCAACTCTATACATCCTTGGTTAGGCCTCATTTAGATTATGCTGCACAGTTTTGGTCACCGTATTACAGAATGGATATAAATTCTCTGGAAAATGTACAAAGGAGGATGACAAAGTTGATCCCATGTATCAGAAACCTTCCCTATGAGGATAGACTGAGGGCCCTGAAACTGCACTCTCTAGAAAGACGTAGAATTAGGGGGATATGATTGAGGTGTATAAATGGAAGACAGGAATAAATAAAGGGGATGTAAATAGTGTGCTGAAAATATCTAGCCTAGACAGGACTCGCAGCAATGGTTTTAAGTTGGAAAAATTCAGATTCAGGAAGGATATAGGAAAGTACTGGTTTGGTAATAGAGTTGTGGATGAGTGGAACAAACTCCCAAGTACCGTTATAGAGGCCAGAACGTTGTGTAGCTTTAAAAATAGGTTGGATAAATACATGAGTAGATGTGGGTGGGTGTGAGTTAGACCTGATAGCTTGTGCTACCAGGTCGGTTGCCGTGTTCCTCCCTTAAGTCAATGTGACCTGACCTGACTAGGTTGGGTGCATTGGCTTAAGCCGGTAGGAGACTTGGACCTGCCTCGCATGGGCCAGTAGGCCTTCTGCAGTGTTCCTTCGTTCTTATGTTCTTCTTATGTTCTTATGTATTTATCCAACCTAAATTGGAAACTACCCAAGGTTTTAGCCTCGATAACCCTACTAGGCAGACTGTTCCACTCATCAACTACCCTATTTCCAAACCAATACTTTAAGAACATAAAAATGGAGGAACACTGCAGAATGCCTACTGGCCCATACAAGGCAGGTCCTTATCAAAACGACCCCTACTCAAAGCTTCCCAAGAATATCCTCCCATACCCAATGACACCAATCAAACCCAGCCCCTCCCACTCATATATTTGTCCAATCTCTTTTTAAAGCCACCCAAGGTCCTAGCCTTGATCATCCTACTCGGGAGATTGTTTCACGCATCCACAACTCTGTTAGAAAACAAGTACTTACCTTAAGTAAACAGGCAGTTTCTTGTACTCAATCGATAGTACAAAAGGAGTTTTAGCGAAATAGCTATGAGTTTAGTCGACTGGAACAATGGAATTGGCCACAAATAGGGCTCAAAGTAGGCGAAATCGCCGATGCATAAATATAACCAAGACTGCTAACATTGTGAGAGTGTAATTTCATAAGTTTTCCATCAATTTTCATACTTTTGGTTTCATTACCATTAGAAAATTTTTTTAAATTCTTTGACACTGAGAGCAAGTTTGTGAGCAGGGGTTGAGAAAGTGAAAGGGTTATTAAATGATAAGATTACATATTTTTTAATGATACAGTAAAGCCTCATATTACACAGTAGTTATGTTCCTGAAAATGCTAGTTTAGATAAATCTGTATTATATAAAGTGAAGAACTTATGGGAAAAATAGGGTTACATTTCTGGGAACCCCCCCTCCCCCCCTCCCAAAAGCAACAACTTTTTTAGATATCCAGATCTTACAAAAATAAAAATGATAATGTTTTTGTTTCTTACATTCCTAATCTGATATAACTATAATTTTGTCAGGCCTTGTTTTGTCTCACTACAAATTCATCAGTGGGGATGCATGGTGTGGCCCTACTGGGCTGAGGTGGATGGTTGTTGGTTGTCGGCAGAAGAGGATGGTTAAGGTTCTGGTACTAAAGTCAATGGTTGTATTGGAGTGTGTATAAATTCTGTAATGGATCTCTAGCTTCTTTTACCCTGTAGAACATTATACATAATTCCAAAAGCTTGGTACTGCCAGGTTGAAGTCAGAGTCCGCTGATGGAACTAAATTTTCATCACTTTTCTTGTGTAATTACATTTGAATGACTTAATAACTACCCGATCCATTGGTTGTATTAAAGATTTTGTATTTGGAAGTACAAATACAACTTTAATATGTGGGGCCACATCCAGCAAAGCTTGTGGATGAGTACGGGAATTATCAAGAATGAAGAGAGCCTAGAATGCAAGGTCCTTGCTGTGCAGGTAAAACTTTACTTCAGGAATAAAGTTATGCTTAAACCAGTCAATAAATATTTCCTCTGTCATTCATGCTGACTGGTTTGACCTCCAAATTACTGGTAAGGCGTTTTTATCTACACCTTTCAAAGCACGAGGATTCTTAGAGTGGTAAATAACCATGGGCTTACACTTGAAATCACCTGATGCATTATCACAAAGGAGCAAGGTGAAGCGATCCTTTGTTGCCTTGAAGCCTGGTGCAGCCCCACAGAGACAGTGGTCTCACCCACAGCCAGGTGGCAGCTTGTGCTAGGGAAATATCCCAAGGGCGACACTCCAAATTTTTTCCCCTCCCGCAAACCGAGCTGTGTTAAGTTAATTTTATGAAGTGTTGTATAAAATTATGCTGCAATTTTTCAACAGTGTAATAACCAAAACGTGCCAAATAAATCCATGTAATACAAGGGTCTACTATGAAAAATTCATCATAAGATATACATTTCTGAACTTTTTACTATAATATACTGTATTTTTATTAAAATGCTTTATAATATACTTACCCTCTCTCACTAAGGTAGGATGACCCAAAAAACGAACAGTAATAGCTAGCAGGTATCAGAATTTTACAAAATCATACTAAATAAAATGTTATTAGGAATGGTAATATGTTACAATGAAAGACTAATAAAAAATTACAAGGAACTGCTAGGAAAATGTTGAAAGATATTTTCAAGGAATTGTTAACAAAATTTTTCTAGGAAGTGTTACTACAAAGTTACAAGGAATTACTTACAAAATGTTAAAAGTAACTGTTAACAAAAATGTTTCAAGAAACTGTTAGCAAAAATATAGCTAAAAAGACAAAAATTACCCTTTTCCCCACAATTTTTTTTTAAGTAAACTCTTGGTAGGTTAATGATGGATACTTAGAACTGATAATAAATTAATTAATGTAAAACTTACCACAATATTCCTCCCATCAGCTGTTATAACAGAGACAAGATCTGAACCAAGGGTTAAGAACAAATCTAACAAGTGAATAATTAAAGTAAGATAAGACAAGATTTTGTTTGGAGGGTTTATCCACCCAGGATAACCCAATAGTCAGTGCAGCATCAGGGACTATCTGTCTTATTTCCAGTGGAATTCTTCAGTCTTGTCACCCAAGATGCCTAACACGCAGGTACTTACTGTTACATGAACAGGGGAAACAGGTATAAGGAAACATGTTGTAGTGCTGCATCTTGCTTGTTTTGTTTATTTAATTCATGTTAAGCACTAAACCCGTGTGGGTCATTCAGCACATGATGTGGTGGAGGCTTGATCCTCCGTCAGCAGAGAGTGAGAGAGACAAGCTTCCTCTCTGTACTCATATAATACCAGCAAAGGTTAGTTGTGACAATCATATTCAGACATAATACATAACCAACCAATATGTAGGCATATAATTTATATTGTGAATATATTAACATGCTGCATTAGTCATTAGAGATAAAACATGTGTACAACTACAGTAATTATATGTTTATTGCAACCATTGTACCGTACAAGGGGTACTAACGTAAATAAAGATTAAATAAGTTTATTTAGGCAGAAGTACACCTAAGTGCAATTATCATTATTGTTATAATCATGAGGGAGCACTAAACCCGCAGGATTATACAGCGCATGTGGTGGGAGGGGGTGGAAAATATTCAGGATCAATTCAGGGAACTGGAGCACAGATCCAATTCCCTAGATCAGGAGCCCCTCACCAGCATCAAGGAACCTCCCTTGAGGGGTCAATTATCACACATTGTGTAAATTATCTAGGATAACTCACTGGGGTTCTTGATTACTGTTACTGATACACAAAAATGAAAATAAGTCATTTTGTCTGACTTTTTGGGGGGCTATCCTTGGTAATTTACAAATATGTTACTGTATATCATTATTGTACTGTATATCATTATTGTACTTATGTGTACCTGTACCTAAACAAACTTACGATGACTTAACCCCTGGATATCTTAAAAAAAATTGAAAGCAGTGCAGTTACGATGACTGTACCACTATGCAGACCTAGACTGGTCACAGATTAGTAAACTACCATTGACAAAAACAAAAAACGCCTAAGTGCTAATAAGGATACGATTGACGTAACTCTCGAGTGCGTTGGTCATATTTATGACTTAGAGAACACGAGGCAACTCTTTGAAACGTTGTTGTTGTTAGGGTTGTTAAGGGTAACCATATCGTAAGCCCTATTAAGTTCTACCTCCCTCTTCATGGGGCCTAACGAGTTGTAGGTTAATAATAATATAATAATATATTTATTTACTACATGTACAAGGTATATAGGCCTAGCTGACATCAATGACATACTACTATACAGAAAGTCGCTTGTTATGCTGAGCATTTCGGGCAAATTAGGCCTGGTGGTTAAATCTCTCGCTTCACACGGCGAGGGCCTGGATTCGATTCCCAGCCTGAGTAGAAATATTGGGCGTGTTTCTTTCCACTTGTTGTCTATGTTCCCCATCAGTAAAATGGGTACCTGGGTGTTAGTCGACTGGTGTGGGTCGCATCCTGGGACACTGACCTAATTTGCCCGAAATGTTCAGCATAACAAAGGGCTTTCTATATTGTAGTATGTCATTGATGTCAGTTAGGTCTGTATACCATGTACATGTACTTGTAGTAAATAAAGATATTATTATTATTATTAGTTTTGCCCCAGGATGCGACCCACACCAGTCCACTAACACCCAGGTATCAATTTTACACTGATGTGTGAACAGAGACAGCAGGTGTCTTATGGAAACATGTCCTAATGTTTTCCAGCCGTACTGGAGATTCGAACTCCGGACCTCAGTGTGTGTGAGCTGGAAAATATACCGAGAACTTTCACGGCTCATAAACTCAGTCAACCACCTAAATTACTGGGAGTACCTTAATTCCCTCGAACTGTACTCCTTAGATACATGAAAATTTACAACTGGAAGATTCTGGAGGGATTGGTCCCAAACCCGTACACCAAAATATCTATATATGAATACAAAGGGCTGGACAGACAATGCAAGATACCCCCGGTAAAAAGCAGGGGACCGAAGAGTACACTCAAATGAATTCAGTAAGTGTAAAGGGACCACGGCTTTTTAATACCCTTCATGCATAAGGGGGATTACCAACAAACCCTTGTCCGTCTGTAAGAGGGAACTCGAAGGCTCTTCAAGTCAGTTCTTGATCAGCTGGGTTGTGGTGTATAAGTTAGGCTACTGGCGACGGACACCGACAGTTTGATCAATCAGGCTAGCGACCAGGCCTGATCTGGGACCAGGCCGCGGGGGCGGTGACCTACGGACGCGGCTACATCACCTGCACTATCACCACAGCTACTACCCACCACCACCACCACTACCACCGCCAACACTACCACCACAGCCACTTGCACCGCCATCCAAACCACTACCACCGCCGCCGCTACCGGGGCCAGGAGCTGTGACTCGACTCCAGCAACCACATATATGCGAGTACCACTATCCAAACCACTACCATCACTCGTACCACCACAGTCACTGCCACCACCAGCGGGCCAGCAGCATAGTGTGGCTGTGGTGGCCCACTTCCACCGTGGCTCCACCGTCAGTAGTCTTCCAGCACTGCTGCTGGTAGCACGTTGTCTGTTCTGTATTGCTTCTTACTAGTGCTACCGCTGTTATATATCGCTGAGCTCCTTTGCAGAAGCATCACTGCATCGCTCACCTTCACGGATACATCCTTATTTCGGCTAGGTTAAGGCCTGTTGACTTCATGTGGGTCATTAAGGCCACATGTTACACTAAAACCAAATATACTTTTAACCCCATCATAGAAACCAAGGTAAACTCAGTATATATATAATTATATATATACAATGCTGTATGACCCTTGTAGGTTTAGCGCTTCTTTTTTATTATAATAATAATATATATACAGTTCAGTGTGTACACATCATGTATGGTACACCCCAGGACACAGCCTAGGTTCGCAGGCAAACTACACGCTTGTGTATATCATTATAAGAATACACCGCAACATACCGCCTAGGCTGCTACAGAGAACTCCCTCTCATGAGTGTATCAGTACAAGAAACATTTAATCATTTACACCCGTGAGCAAAAGACAGCACTTGAGCTCCGTAGATGCTCTTAATGGTGCGTGTTAACCGACAGGAAAAGTAATACATGTGAAGTGTTGCAATATTTTATGAATTCAGTTTGCTTACAAATTCTTACATGAACTAAGAAATAAAAAAATACATTTAGTTCTCAACTTGTCAAGTGTTAAAACCAAAGAAAATTTTCCAGCAAGACAATGTGGAGGTTCCCAGTAACGGTAAGTGGACCTAATTTAGTTTAGTCAACCATTAATGGAATACCTCTTCAAAACAGCCAGTTCTTTGAATTGTTAATGTGCTAGTTTAGTGACATTAATTGCTACCTTTCTGAAGTACAAGCAAGAACCTACCAGCCTATTTTTATATATGTTAATATAGTAGATATATATGGTTAACTTAATAAACAAATAATAACAATAGATTTTCATCTCTCTAATTATCTGCATCCTTGATAACATGAAGGACTTGATCAAACCTAATTACAACTCACTCACTAGGCGGTAGCATGACCCCCTACGGATTTTATGCTTTCTCCTTTAATCTAATAATATCCTGCATACATCTGTACCAAATTAGGTTAATTCAGATAGTCTTCGTTGTCTGCTTCTGATTCGTCCACTAACTTATAAAATACTCATCGTCTCAAAGATATTGTTGCATTCGTTCTTATCAGTTACGGTCCTTTTAAAATATATCATTAAAGTTCTCATCATACACTGCTCTTAGCCATGGGTCACTCATTCAACATCATCTCTTCTGCCCTTTTCTACATTAATCCCTGAATGTTCTCTTCAGTTTTTTCACCATGTCTGGTTCATTATCTCTGACATGATTTCGACTTGCCTAAGACTGCCCTGAAAAGCTACGAGTGACAATTTCCACAGCAAGACATCAATGCTGTGAGACTGCACAGCGTACTATGTACGGTGTGGTACGGTGTACCACCGTGTTACAGCGTACTGTGTACGCTGTGTTACGGATAATTGTACGAAAAAAAAATGCTGATTCTACCCAGTGTCGGCAATATTATTTTAATAATATTAGTACTAGTTTAACTAGTACCACCATGATGTTACCATCCCTGATGCAACCAGTATTATTTGAACTACTTCTAGTACTAGGGATAATACTACTACTAGTAGTACAAGGGATGATACTGCTACTAGTACTAAGGATAATACTACTATTACTACTAATGCTATTTATATTGGTGCTATTACAATTGGTACACAGTTCCAGCTTTTACAATATCCAGTCCCCTCAAAGAAGGTACCTTCATGGCGGTGAGGTGTTCCTGACTCCAAGAACTGGACCAATTCTCCGTATCCTTTGGTCAAATCCGATTGCCTCCCCTTTTCCTTAGGCACTATATGACCTCTACGGGTTTAGCGCTACTAAATGAATGTCCTAATAACCTCTTCCACACAATGCAAGAAATTAAAGGAGGTATTCTCGATCTTCTATCTCAGCATCTCAAAACACACACACACACATATATATATATATATATATATATATATATATATATATATATGAAATAATCTTAAAAAAAATCTTTGCGCAAAAAGGTCTCAGAGTTCCTACATATTTTACAAACTTAGAACTTTTATCCTACCTTAGTATATCTTAAAGCCTGGCCTTAGCAATATCATATTGGAGGTAATTTATATAGGTGTGTATTTTAATTAATCATAAACAACATATGGGTTAAGTGGAATTAACCTGTGACTCTGTGTTGTCATTTGCTCACTTAGGATGACCTCTAATGCTCACATGTGGTGAGAATCTACCTCAAGTTTAAGTCCTCCCAGAAAGAATGATGGTTGATAAGAGTACTGTCACTCAGAAGGTACAACCTAAGTGAAATTGTTGTTGGTTGTCTTGCCTAGGAGCTAGAGATCGACCCTCCCCCCCACATATTTATTTTTTTATAATTGATGGAATCCTGTTTTATCTCCGATTTCTTTTCAGTGTGGAATATATAACAATTATGTTTGGTAGCAGAGCAGGAGATGCACAAATTAACATTAAGATCGACAACACTCTAATTACCAGACATAATGAGGGCAAATTCCTAGGCCTATACCTTGACAACAACCTGAATTTCAGCACCCATATCCAACACATAACCAAAAAAGTATCCAAAACGGTTGGGATCCTCTCCAAGATACGATACTACGTGCCGCAAAATGCCCTTCTCACACTATACCACTCACTTATTTATCCATACCTCACCTATGCTATTTGTGCTTGGGTGTCAACTGCAGCAACACACCTAAAGCCAATAATAACCCAACAAAAAGCTGCAATAAGAATAATCACTAAATCCCATCCCTGGCAACACCCCCCCCCACTCTTCATAGATCTAAACTTACTCCCTGTTCAGTACATCCACACTTACTACTGTGCAATCTACATCTACAGGACCTTAAACTCCAATATCAACTTTGACCTAAAACGCTTTCTTGATAGTTGTGACAGAACCCACAGGCATAACACCAGACACGAACATCTCTACGACATTCCCCATGTCCGACTAAACCTTTACAAAAATTCAATGTATGTCAAAGGCCCTAAAATCTGGAACACCCTACCTGAGAACTCTAGAACTGCAGACACATTCATCACCTTTAAAACTACCATTAGAAAACATCTTATCTCCCTGATACACCCCATCAACTAACTCCACGAATACCACCTAGTGGTTCACACTTACACTCACACCCATTTCACCATAAACAGAAATATTAATCTCAATCTTAAAATAATGAATCCTATGATACTCCAATACTGAAACTATGTACTGTGCCAAAACAAAAGCATTCACATTGCTAAACTCACAAACTAGTATTTAGTCACTTAGCCATAATACCAACTTACCTCATAATTTGTAATATTTTAAAATAAAGAATTAAACTAAGTCTGCCCGAAATGCCTAGCCATGCTAGGCGTTCTAGTGGTACACTCTGTAATCATTATTTAACTACATGTAAACCACACAATAACCAAATTCTGTAAATTCAACATTGTAATCCTTATAGAGAATAAACTTTGACGCGTTGTTTGCGTATAGTGGTGGTGAGCTGAGCTAGGCTGTACCGTTATGTTCC